TACTTTACATAATTTCTGAAAAATTTGGTTTTACTCATTTACAAACATTTTTTAGAAATATAACTTCAAAACTTTTGCACCGAAATTATCTCTAATATTCTCAAAATCGAAGCATTGATTACTAGGATTTACAGTAAATTACTTTATCTTTATTCTACTGCTACTGTAATTTAACATATAATCTTCTCGAAAGTTTAAGAAATTGTTAAAATTACAAAATATCAATTTTCGATGATGGTAATATTGCAACGACAGCGGGGATTTTTGTTTGTGTATTGTTGGTATGATGAGTTTTTTTGAGGGCGAAGTGAGCGTGTTATCTGAGTGTAGGATGAGGAAGGAAGCTAGTGTATATTTAATGGGTAATCGGCATAGCAGGATGAAGCAAGGGGGGCAGCAGAGATAAGATCTGAGACGAGGGTATTTATAGTTTATAAGGTTTAAATGCGGGGTGCGAATTGGGGGAGAGGTGATGCTGCGAAAACGGGAAGTGTATTGTTATGATATCGTAGCAGGAATATACACGTAGCAGGAAAGTGTATGCACGTTGGTGGTGGCAATTACGTAGCGAGCTGCACGTTTCTTTCTCTTCATTTTACCAAAAACTCTTCGCCATTTATTTCAATTTCCATACACACTGCCGGCTGCGGGGATTTACCGTTCGCAGGATGAAATAGACAAGATTTTATTTTCGACCCAAACTCTGTCTTTTCTCTCTCACTCTCTCTCTCGGGTATATGGAGAGACTGTAGGTGTAGGGAGTGAGATGGAAAGAGGAGATGCTTCTGTCCCATCTATTTCCACTGATCTCATCCAGGAACGGCGCCTCTCGTATCCATCTCCACCTATTTCCTACTGCTGCCTCCACTGTTACTACCTGCTACTACGACTACTCCTCCACCCGTATCCAATTTCCAAGGCAGCTGAAAACTACCTCGCCAAGTGGCCATTCATATCGAAGTTTTCGGGCCGCGTTAAATATTGAATTTATGAAGCCATTAGGACTAAGACTAAGAAGACTTCGTACACACACACACACACGTCGTCTTCTCGTTCCTCTTATTCCTTCTTCCTCTTCTTTTTCTTCATCTTCGCGAGGCTGGATGAATTGTTCAGAAGGTCTGTCTATACATCTATATAGATATATCTATATATACACGGGGTGGACGTGTGTATATTTTCCCGCTTGTTGGTCGATGACCGTATTTCAGAGGCGGCCGTGTATATGTGTGTGTTCATGGGGGGGTGTGGGAGTGGAGAGGGGGAGTGAGAGAGAGATTCCCCCGGTATCGAACCGCCGCCTACTACTGGCCGCTCCGCCGTCATCATCCACCGTTCCCATGGGAACGCGTGTGTATCGCGAGGGGGGAAGCAGCGTGGAGGCGGCGGGGGCGCCCGCTCCCTCGGGACCCGAGCCTCGCGTCCCGAGGGAGGAGTCTGTCTTGCACGATGCACTAGACGACGACTACTACGACGCTCAAAATGGCTGAAAACTAACATACATACCTACACATCCTTGCAGCAACATTTTTCATATCTTTTTTTCTTATTTGTCTTCAGGTGGTGATCGCAACGCAGGTATCAGTCGATGGACCTCTTCTCGCCATCTCCGACAACATGTTCGTGCACAACAACTCGAAGCACGGCCGACGCGCGAAGAGATTGGACCCGGCCGAAGGTAGCTATGTGAACAGTATGTCTCAACTTTTACTCGTTTTTTTATACACTCTACTACATAACGTAACAAACACTTTGACACTGACACTGACAATTTCAACACATAATACCAACCCCAAAATATTACATCCCCTAATCCTTTTAAGATTCACGTACATTTCTCAATTATTTCCTCAGGTAATAAAGTCAATTATTAATCAGGAAAACCATGCTTTAAAAATCTCAGGTTTTCAATTAAATATCTCAATACAAAATCAATTATTAATCAAAATGGACCACAAGAAATATTACCAACCAAAAACAAGAAATTACTAAATATCGATAATTTCTTAAGTCAATAACATTTATTATTAATCAAGCAGTCAATGTCAAAACAATCAATCAAATGTTTCTTTAAAAATCTCAATCTTTCACGTACAAATCTCAATACAAAAATAATCTTAGCCTTGAAATTATTTATATCAATTGTTTCTTCAAATAATAAAATCACTTTTTAAACTTTTACAAATTGATGAAACAGAGTTGAAAATAGGAATTTTCTTATATAAAAATCAGAGTTTCTAAAACTTTTTTTTTTCTCATATTTATTCAACGCTATGATTCTCAATATTTACATCAATTTTGTCTATTTCTTAAACAAATANTTTTTGCTAACTATTTCTAAATCACAAATATTGTTTAATCTAATTGATTCAAACGCTCAATACAAAATCAATTATTAATCAAGAACACCATGCTCATCAAATGGACCACAAGAAATATTACCAACCAAAAACAAGAAATTACTAAATATCAATAATTTCTTCAGTCAATAAAATTTATTATTAATCAAGACTGTCAAAACAATCAATCAAATGTTTCTTTAAAAATCTCAATCTTTCACGTACAAATCTCAATACAAAAGTGATCTTAGCCTTGATATTATTTATTTCAATTGTTTCTTCAAATAATGAAATCACTTATTAATCAAGAATAACAAACACTCTTTGTTTTTTTTTTAAACTTTTACAAATTGATGAAACAGAGTTGAAAATAGGAATTTTCTTATATAAAAATCAGAGTTTCTAAAGCTTTTTTTTCTTCTGATATTTATCCGACGCTTTGATTCTCAATATTTACATCAATTTTGTCTATTTCTTAAACAAATAACAAAATTGCAAGACATTTTCAAATTAGTATAATGTTAATAACTTTTTGCTAACTATTTCTAAATCACAAATATAGTTTAATCTAATTGATTCAAACGCTCAATACAATACAATCAATACAAAATCAATTATTAATCAAGAAAACCATGCTCATCAAATGGACCACAACAAATATTACCAACCAAAAACAAGAAATTACTAAATATCAATAATTTCTTCAGTCAATAAAATTTATTATTAATCAAGACTATCAATGTCAAAACAATCAATCAAATGTTTCTTTAAAAATCTCAATCTTTCAATCAAATCTCAATACAAAAATAATCTTAGTCTTGAAATTATTTATTTCAATTGTTTCTTCAAATAATAAAATCACTTATTAATCAAGAATGACAAACACTCTTTGTTTTTTTTACAAATTGATGAAACAGAGTTGAAAATAGGAATTTTCTTATATAAAAATCAGAGTTTCTAAAGCTTTTTTTCCTCTGATATTTATCCGACGCTTTGATTCTCAATATTTACATTAATTTTGTCTATTTCTTAAACAAATAACAAAATTGCAAGACATTTTCAAATTAGTATAATGTTAATAACTTTTTGCTAACTATTTCTACATTCTAATTTGTTATTAACGTTATGGGTTTTTGTGTAAAATATTTGTTACAAAAGAAAGAAAATGGACTTGGAAATTGGTATTGTTTGAAGTTTAATGATGTCTGCGTCGTCTGAAGAATAACAAACGGTGAGAGATGTGCGAAGGTAAGATTTGCGTGTGTTTTTTTTGGGTGGAAGCAGAAGAGTACGCACGAATGGTGATGGAAAAGTGACGGG